ATAGATTGGCGTGCCTTTGAAAAATGGAATATTTTTGGGCATCGAAAAAATGACTCTCCACTAACCAGTTATTAAATTTTGAAGAATTCCCATTCCTATTACGTTCTCAAGGGCATCTCCACTGCTGAACTCGAATTCGGAGACGGTTTCCTTCCGCATTAGCCATTTGAAACAACAATGTATTTAATTATTTAAACAAAGCCTACAACGGCTAAGACAGGTCATTAAATTTGGGTGTTCGCTAAAGACGTTTCGATGCATGCAAGCTGGTTTCAATGAGTGCATCACATTGTAATAAAGACGCCAGAGGAAAGTCAAAGCCCAGCTTTTTTTTGAAAACGAAAAAAGTCGGAAAAGAAAAGACAATGTCAAAAAAAACAAGGAAATTGTGGGCAGGCTGGGCAGACACACCCTGAAGGCAACATAAAAAGTTACATTGGAGAGGGATCATAGAGAGCAGGCATAAAAAAGAGAGTGTGAGGGTTTTCTTAAGAAAAGCCCATTATTGTTGGCCAATCGATTGACTGTTTCTTTCAGAGGTGAAAGTTGAAGTTTTATGGCTCCTTCAATATTCAATACTCCTTCTTCGATGGTGCCTATCAAATAGATAAATCATAAAGGGCAACATATTCGGCCTTAGTCAATCGAGTCTAAGGAGTGCGCCCCGCATTCGGGTTCGGTCCAGAATCGTAGTGACAGTTTGAATGCGTGCGTGGATTACCAAAGACATGTAATGTTCAGCTGATCTACAAGTCAGTGTGTTTATCCTTCCTAATGGGTCTGGTATCAATCAACCAATCCCGGAGGAATGAAAGGCTCTTCACTCAGCTGGATATCGATACGGGTTTGACCTCAGAACCATGAACCATGCATGTGGGATCGGACATCATTTGCGACTACATCACCTCCACCCTAGTCGGATGCAGTTACTACTAAATGACTCTCGAATAAAGCTTTTGTTGATACCTACGGAGGATTACGAGAGTAGCATCGCAGATTTTTGACAGACCTTTCACTTTCATAGTATCAACAGCACCTTTACAGCATATAACACATGAGAAAGGATGTTATAGGCGCTTTGCGATTAATTAATCGTCAATCTTCTACGAAAGCGACATCTGAAACATTGAAAAAAGGGTTGATTTTCTAAGAAAAGTCGTTGGGAAAGATCATGTTAGAGGAATTGCTATCGAAATGATGTATAGTGGACCATCAAGGCAGCTTCATTATTGTTTTCTAATTTTGAAGAATTTTTTTTTTCAGATGATTGGTAGCTAGACCCGGTCCTGAATTCGGTTCACTGGTGGTTCCGACCCTTGTGTGCAGGACTCCCAAGTAAGCAGTGGGCCTGATAATCACCATAAAAATGCTCTGAAAGTTTTCTACAAAACAGATATACGTCGTTGCCTTAGCAAAGGCAAAGCAAATTTGCCTTTCACGAAACTGTGGCTTTTTATTTACGGCGCACTAGCTCGCTCNAAAGCTGGATTGTACAAAATCAATCATCAATCAAAATCGATTATCTAACGTCATCACTCCTTTACTGCGGAAAAAGTGGAGAGCGTTTGAAGCCTGATTAATCGTTGCTTTTCGGTGCCTGAAATATTTGTCTATCTTGGTAGACGACGATTATTTAGACCACCTACCTTGGTAGACCTATTTTTAAGGAACGTTTTATGTTCACGACAGGTGGAACTGTTTCAATCTCTCACAATTCACATGAAGCCATAAACCATCTTGGAAGCTTGCATTCGAGGCATTGAAAATGCTTCAGAGGTGGTAACTTTTGATGGTCCAGCATGTCAAATTGCCAAGTGTATTCCAGGAGCCACTTAAATGATTCACTAGCACGCCGGGTTCGATTAAATGGTACCAGATCCGCCTGCGACAGAATAAAATTTCGACTGTACAACGGCTGGCAACCGCAAGTCATTGCATGGGCCACATATGCGTTCAATACGCCACTACGCACTGAATGCGGTGCGCATTCCTGAGAAGAGATTGTATAGGGACAGGAATTTTTTCTTTTATTTTTTATTTCTCTTTTGCATATCACCAGTGGATGAATAGTAGAAAAGGTACCCTTTTGACACAGGAGCCGGTAAACTACATAAGTCCATACATGGATGAAGAAATTAATAGCAAACGTGCTGTTCTGTGGGCCAGAATAGAGCGGGTAGAATGGGCAATCAGAAATTTTTATTGCCTGTAGTTGTTTACAGAATCATTGTGAGGATTCAATTTTTTTTATGAATCGAGTCGCTCTTGGAGATTCATAAACTGACGAAATTTCTAAAAAGTTCTGTGAAGTGCCCAATTATTAACCTTTCACCCAGGGTACATGGGGTTTAACAAGCAGCAGACCTACACAATGGCATGCTATGCTAGCCAATATAAAAGTCACTGTTGCCATCCTTTCAGACAAGTCTGGTGCTAGTTGTACGACCTTGAAGAGTGGAATGAATACGTAGTTAGCTTGAAGGGTTATCGGTGAAGAAGATTACTTATGGACCGTATTTGTGGGAGCAGCACCATTTGGAAACACCCCATCGGCATTCTTAACATATGTGGTGATTTGAAATCCACTAAATCTGCGTTCATAAAGCGCTAGAGTTTACAAGCGCTAGTGTAAATTGCGAAACGCCTGGGGCAGATGCTGTTGACCTCCATCCATTGTGCGCTTGAAACCGCCTACACTTTGGAGGTTAGTGAGATTTTGTATGGACTCGTGAACCGAGAACGTCGTCACATTACTCATGGAATGGCACTGGTTTTCTTGTAGAAAAAGTGACAGAATTGAGGAAGCAGGCGACAATGCCGCAGTAATAACGATCCCTTCACTAACTTACGAGAAGGGAAGGAAAGAAATAAGTTTTGGAAAGTTGCTGAAAGCCGTAGGTGGTTGAGTCCTGCAGACGAGAGCCTTTCGAACTGCTGAAGTTTTCTTGCCTCATAACGTTACGAGATTTCCCCTCTCAATTATGTTCCTGTTTTCCATTAACATCGGCGTGAAATTGTCCCGATGAAGCTGTTACTCTGCTGTGCTACTCTCAGTACTCAGTTGCGAAAAGCACGTTCTGTAGCTCCCGCATCTCGTCCGTAGACTGACATCTATCAGAGTACATTCGTCGAGGCACTTGTGTTGCTTCCATCAGTTGAAGGTTTAGTTCTAGGAGCTCCCGTTAATGTAGGACTGTAGAAGAAGACCTGAACATTCAGTGTTCCGATATCCTACTCCGTCACTATCATGAGTTTCCCTCAGCTCATCGCAACTAAAGGCAGACGAAAAAGGGTAGATGGCATAATATCATTGTCATTGTGGTAGTGGTTTAGCAGTGTACTTCGAAAGCCTTTAGCTCGAGAGGAAAAGTAGTTGAAGACAGAGTGATTGGCACAGACTCTTCAGTCCTACACTCTTCTGGGCCAATATATCTTCTCTGGACTGGGGATTAACAACACTGGATGTCGGCCTCTCGAGCAGTTCAGTAAGTAGGAAAATAACGCAAACAAATGTATCAATAACTTTTGATGAAACTAAACGTTTCAAACTGATTGAGATAGATTCCTCAATGAAACATCCATTGGTCATCATGAATTACGTGAAATGGCCACCTATTGCTTACCACTGGCAAAATCCTATTCTCAATATAACCTCAACTTCGAGAAGTGAGTTGGTAGAGATCAATCACATAAGCACTAGCGCGTTTTTCTCATGAACAGCTCTGCATTGGGGTTGGAAATAAGTAGTCCATCAGAATCTTATGTTCATTTCACACTAGTTCGTGTAGCGATAGTGCTTTCTGGATCTTACTCGATTGCGATTCTCCAGCAAGCTTTTTCGGGGTTACGATTTCCCAAAAGCCTGGAAAGGTTCTCTGTTCCATTTTTATGATTTCACGCTCTATTAGCATCTTGCCTTTCTTCCGTCCAAGTTAAACCAACTGCTCGTGACATATGTAGACTTGTGGCAATAAGGTATTGACTTGAAAGGCAACCAATCTGACCTTCCCTAGACCGGATCTTGCCGAGACCGGTCAAGTTGTCCGTGTCTTGATGAAGTGGTGTCAAAGTCTGTTGAAGGCTGGAACAATGATTTTAACACCGGTCGGTCTAACAAAGAAGCTGATTTGCCGTTGACGTTGACGAATCCAATGCAGCAGATCCTAAGATGACTGCTTTAGGAAAAAAAAACTTTTACGTTCATGGCCAAAGTTCGGAAGGGAGGGATTAGGTTGCTATGAAGGGAGGAACCAGAAATTGCTGAGAGTTGCTACTTAACTACTGAATACTAACTATCCTGATTATAAAACACTGTGGTTTATCAAAGATGCAACTAGGGCTAGAAAGCCGGTAGAAGGAAGTGAACCACTGGTTCTAGGAGAGAATGAAGACCAGTTCTTTTTTCTGGAGAGATTGCACTCTCACTGGCGGTTCACCCTATAATTTGACCCGAAGAATCTCTGAATTCGCCGAATTTCGTGGATGTGTGAGTTAGGAAGCTTGGTAGCAGTTTTCACTCGGCCGTTCAACCATTCGCTTAATCGATGGAATCATTCCCTCAACCACTGCACTATTCTTAAATCAAACGATAAGGATAGAAATCGTGAAAAATGACTTGATAGTTCAAATTCAAGGATAAAACTCATCATCATAGTCAGTAGGCTTTTGATTACCCTCGTCATGTTCATGTTGAAGCCAAAGTGGAAAGCCACAAGGTAAACGTAGCCTCGGAGCGAGATGAGATGGCAATCAACTGTCACTCTCGGTGATTTCTCGCTCTCTCCCGCGCATCATAACGAGTCTATAGATTTCACTTTTCAGCCGATCTCTGATGTTAAACTACAAGGGAACCGCTGATCAATTGCACTATTCTCACCCTTGTCGGGGCATGCCGTTGTAAAAATCCCTTGAAGTTCGGCATTTGGACCGGTAAACCGATGTGGGGGGCGGGTCGATGCTGCCCCTATAAAAGCAACCCGAGGCCATTTGCAGATACCGGCATGCATTCCTCCGATAGCATCGACGAAAAGAAACTATGGCATGAGGCGGAGGGTCTCCGTCGCATTGCCTTCTTCGGCATTTGCATCAGGTCAATATATGCGTTTCACGATCTCATTTTTTTCTTATTTTCTCTTTCTTTACTCGTCCATTACTGGTTCGAATAAACTCTCATCGTTTCAGCACTGTCGCTACTCTGACCGCCATCGTTGCTATCCCAGCCCTGTACAACTACATGCAGCACGTGCAGTCTTCCCTGCAGACCGAAGTAGATTTCTGTAAACACCGAACGAATGGTCTTTTCAACCAGTACGAGCGCATGCAGCGGATCAAGGGAGTCCGAGGAGGGATCGTGAAACGTCAAGCNCTTGCTGGACCTCCTGGTCCACCAGGTCTTGACGGTCCAGATGGAAAGGATGGTCAACCAGGAGCAAATGGAGAGCCCGGTACTGATGCTGCACCTGATGCAGTGCCTACTGCTGATGACTTCTGCTTCGACTGCCCTGCTGGACCCCCTGGACCACCAGGAAATCCAGGACCCAAAGGACCCAACGGAAACCCTGGAGCCCCTGGACAACCCGGACCCGACGGCCAACCTGGACAACCTGGACCTCCCGGACCACAAGGACCACCTGGCGCTGATGGACAACCCGGTCAACCTGGTCAGCAAGGAGCACCTGGAATCGTTGAAGAGGTTGCAGTTCCAGATGGGCCAGCTGGACCTCCAGGACCACCAGGACCACCTGGACCTGATGGACAACCTGGAGCACCCGGTCAACCTGGACAGGATGGGCCTCAAGGACCACCCGGAGACGCTGGACGAGATGGAGCACCAGGAAACCCAGGAGCTCCAGGAGAACCAGGACCTCTCGGAGAATCTGGTGCCGGAGGTGGTTGCGATCATTGTCCTCCTCCCCGAACTGCTCCTGGATATTAAACCATCCAAATACCTAAGGGCTTTCATTTTCACTGCTTTTATACTCACGACCTCATGACTCCTGCCTTAATTATACAACAGAATAAAAGATTTCAATAACTGTGTTTCTTGTTAACTTTAATATCGTGTTGCCTGTCCTCCGCTCGATCACTGACCATCAGAAAAAAGTCAGGAAAAGGTTTAAAATTTGGCAATGAAGAACGAGGATCACAAGGCTAGAAAAGTGTCGTTAACAACATTCTGTCCATGTGCCGGCTCTCTTGAACACCTGGTAATTGAGTACCTTCCTTGGAAGCAAGCACTCCTGCCACTTGCTGGGGGGTATGTCTACAGTCAATATATATAACAATATCAATGCGTTCACGCCCGGAATAGAATTTACCATTTCATCTTGTTCCTTGAGGGAAGTCAAGTAGTTGACGTTTGACCATTCTCATTTGCAGAAAAAATGGGGGAACTTATCAGGAATTCATCTCTTATTTGACAATGTCATACGAGGACCCTCCTTTTGAAAAGACTTGCGCAGCAATTCTCAAGCTTTCTTTGGGGTAAACGAAAGACGTTTGCTCTTTTGCTGACCTTCACTATTAGAAGATGAGGCTACTCGAAAAACAAGAATTCTCGTGGTTCTTTTTCGTTTGGAGATTTCTCTCGGATTGGTAGCCGATTGTTCTGAATAATGCGACCATAGTTCGATCGTAAAATTTTTCTCGTAAGCTGAATGGGTCCTCCGAGAGGCGCACCTCCGGTATCTTCAGAATTTATTTACATCTGGTTAGCCTATTTCAGCGATCTCCTCATCAGGGGTGTGGCTTTTATGAATTCAAACCATATAGCCGAAAACTATTGGAAGCTTTCCCATACTTCCTGGAGCGACTTCTAAAGCGATCAATCGAATACGAGTTGGTTATCCCTTTCCTTTTTTTGATAATGTAATGAGACTTTCGGATGCTAACTGAGGTTCAACTCCCCCTGAGAGTGACCCATTGGACTCGCAATGATGAAGATCTTTGAGAAAAGTTTTTGCAACCGTCCCTAAATACACGTCTGCCCGTGAACGAGCGCACGACATTTTCGCACCCTTCCAGCTGCACTGCATAGAATCAGCGCTGGAAAGGTCTTTGAGCTATAAACTTTCGATAGTCCCTAAACAATGCTTCCCTTTAGTGGAAGGAACATTTCAATTGCAGTGTTTCCTGACATCTACTTGGCCTATCTCTCGTAGAATACAAAGATCGGGTGGAGTCTATGAAAAGTAGGTTGCATCATTAGTATAGCTGACGATGCCCAGAATCTCACTTATCGGCCTCTCCTCATAGCATGTAATTGTCAACACTCCCAAGAGCGTCAAAAGAAAAACGAAAACTCGACAGCTTGCACTGTTTGTGATGTTTAAACCGACCAAGGGCGGTTTAATCTGTACATAGAAAAGATATGGCTGCATATGGGAACAAGTTTATATGTACAGTCGTAAACGGTTTCCAGCTGAATGCTTGGAGGCTTGACTGGGTATCATAGCGAAAGGGCTTGTACAAGAAATCGAGCAAAGACATTTCCATATCCCTTCCCCAAATGATTTCACCATTCTATGAGGACCATAACTAATTCTCCCCTTCAGGATGAGGCTCATCTTCGGAAATAAACCATATCAAAAAAAAGTTTCACATAATCGCGATGGAATCGAAACATTGCTTTAGATGACTCTGTTTGGAACACTATCCACCAAACCCATTTTCTTACAGCGAGAAGCTCTTTTGTACAGCCTTTCAGTGTCAGAAAGCAGAACATTTCGATGCACCATTAACGTCTTCCGATTAATGGACTATTTCTTTGAGACCCGTTCAAGACTCCAGTTGTTTTTTTCCGATAAGGGAGTGTGACTTTTATTTCTTCTGAAATTCCATTTGTAAGAAAATTCCTATTCCTTACATTAACTGCCTTACACTTAAAAAACATCAGAATGCCATGCCTTTCCGGTTTTGGAGCATGACAACCTCCTTTCGGGCATCAGACGCTGTCCTCACGTGATTTCCGAACATCCGAGCTGTCCATCAGTGTTGTCCTTGGTCCGTCTTTCAGACGTGCGCAGTCTGGGTTCATGCAATCTTCAAGGCTATCGCTAACCACTTTCGCCTGCTGTACACTACAGCAGGTGGCCCATCGTAGACGCAAAAACTGCACAATTCAAGTCTAAACTGGCCTTTCGCTAGTTGTTCTTCCTCGGAACACTGAAAACATACCGATAAAACTGCCAAGTCGCTGGACAACGCTGTCACCGACTCGTTACGAGTTTATCACCTTCTCTTTAGCGATGTTTCAAATAAAAATCACGCATTTGCGACCAACATAGACTAAACTGAAACATTCACACACACCAAACACCGCCTTCGAGTTACTAAAGGCACAATTCGCGGTAATTTTGAGGTACCATTTTTTAGTCGAAGAACGAAAGTATAGGTTGAGAATAGCTCATCTGTAGTGAGAGAAACACCAAAACTCGCCGATTTCGACAAAAATATGGCTCCTAAAAAGTAGGGGAAATAGAGGTTGGACGAGATCAACATGACGGAAATAACATCGAAGGGGTATTTAGACGAAATTTCACTTGTTGCAATGGCGCAAAGACCTGATTACATCAAGTCAGAATTGTCTCAAACTGCTCTTGGCTGTCGCTATGGGACATGGCAAGTTGCTTGAACTTGCTACATGGATTCCTTTGTGAATGGTGCAGCCTCTACAATGCTGGTGAGACTCGTCCGAGGATTCACAAGGGCCAATCTTTGAGCCTTTTTAACTACTCCTCAACTAGGCCATTTTTCGACCTAATAGTGCCAGGAAGGTATACGCGGGGTTACAAATTTACCCTAGGGGGCTATCTCATAAGCCATTTTTCTCGGGAACTGTGCCTTCAATAGACGTGAGCGGAATATATTTGATTTCTTAATGATAACTACGCAATGAAAGGCGATCCAGCTGCCGTTTAGTGGGTAAGCTCAATGAGTAGTTCGGAGCTCATTTCGATTAGGCCCGTTTCACTGTTCATAGATCCTTCGTATAGAAAATGAAAATGCCATTGAATGTGTACTTACTTTTAATTCAATTTTCTTGATGGTCAGGGTCAACATGGAACCCGCGACGAACACTTTTTCAGTCTCCTCAGGAATTAATTAGTTTGGAAATGTTTTTCTTAGTTTCATCAAATTAGGCCAGCTTTCGGCGTAAACTGAGAGAAAAATATTGCAAATGGAGATTTGAAGAAGAAATGGCAGAATAGAAGCAACCAATTTAGAAAGTAATTAGACCGAGCAATGACAACTTTCAAGTAGAAAACCTGGGATGGCAGCAGAGCTGATCATAGAGGAACGCAGTCGGCGTATTTAGAAATGATAGATGTATAGGGGTTTTTCTAGAATTCTGCGATTAGTTTGATGAGAGAGATACGGTATTATGTGAATCTAAGTACGCTTCTTGAAAGTGTGAGGTCGCCGCAGTACAGGATCATTTTACCTTCATTCCATTTATTGACCCAGACAATCTGCCCACGTGAGTAACGATCCATAACAAATGAACCGTTTCAAAGCTTAGAGTGTTTTGTGGCGAAATTCAATGGAAATATTCTATGAGGACACTACCCCAGGGCATGCTCATAATTTATCTGGCGGCCTCTTCCTTGCTTCATTAATTACCTGGTAGGAGAACCCTCTCTTCTCCCATTNCCCCCCCCCCCCCGAGTTTGAAGGTGTAGCCTTAATTTGAATTCGACCATTCAGCTACTAAACCCAATCGAAACATGTGTCCTTGTGTCAAGTGTTCGACCTCAATTTGATAGGTGGTTCTGTGCATCCTTATTCCTAAAGCTAGAAAGCTGGTCAAGGGTTAATCCCGATCCGCCAACTGACTGCGATATTATGAAATTTTCAGAAAGTTGCGCCTATACAAGAGAGTAAGGTCGGTTTATAGTATTTCCAGAAAGTATCCTAACATTGAGAGAAGGATGCTCAGATGGGCCTGGGGCTGAACTCGAATAGACCAGATAAAGAGAATCTGTCCAGAGAGATGAGAAGCAGTGTTTGCGATGGTACGGGTACGTGCTGCGAAGGCTCCCAGAACAGCACATGCTGCAAAGGATCAGCCATAAGCAATGCAATGGAGTTCAGAGCAGGGGGAGAGCGATCAAGCGGAACCTCACAGAAGAGAGGAAGGGACGTGATCCAGAAGGATCTCTCTGAAAACTAATGTACCTTCAGAAGGTGCTGTAGATGAAAGGAGTCTCGACAACTCGCTAGAGCAGGTACTTTTCGAGAACACTAGATTTTAAAGGGCTAATAACATGATTAAATGGGAAGCAAACATGTCCAGTTATAGTTCTACTTAGTTGCTAACATCAAGCTTCTAGCAATTGCAATCTCTCATTAAAGTGGTCCTTTACAATTTTTTTTGCTCCCAGTGCAACTGCAAACTTGCTTTAATTATGCAGTAACTTTTCGGTCCTTCACTTATTACCTGACATTCTTTCTCATAAAGGTGGAGAGGAAAAACAATAAATTTATCAGATGGGAATATAGAAGTTAGAAACAACACCTGAGCGCAAGAGGAAGAGGACAGAAAAAACACAACATTCTAAAAATGAAAGTGCAATGTAGTTGAGAAGAAACCGGGTCAGAACAATTTGGAACGAGTTAGCAAAGAAAAGGGAAACAAACCGAATTGTTGCAAAATCATAAGCAAAACCACATAAAGGCATGGAATGACGGATGTCATCAAGAAGAAAAACCCAGTCAAAGCGATACAATGTGAAAACGCGAAGGGAAGTGTAGGGCTGTCATCTCAATAAAACGGCAAAAGGTTGACGAAGGCATGGAATCAAAAAGTAGTAAAAAGGTGTCAAAATGACATTGTACGCTCTCTGTTTTTGAGCTCTTTTAGAGCTTATTTAAACAACAAAGTGGAACAGACATTAATCATATTTCTACCATCCCCCATAGAAATCTTAATGCTGC